TTGCCATTTACAACAACATGGATTGACCTAGAGAGTATTATGCTAAGTGAAATAAGTCAGACAGAGAAAGACAAAAAATGTATGATTTCATTGATATCTTGAATTTAAAAACAAACAAACAAAACAGAAACAAATTCTTGGATACAGAGAACAAGCTAATGGTCACCAAAGAGAAGCGGTGTTGTCAGGATGGGTGAAAAGGTAACAGGGATCTTGCGGTTATAAAGATAGTTATAGAATGTAAAGTACAGCATAGGGAATATAGTCAATAATAATATAGTAGCTATGTATGGTGTCAAACAGGTACTAGACTTATGGAGTTAAGGATCACTTCTGGACTTATGGATCACTTTGTAAGTTATAGAAATTTCTAATCACTGTGTCGTACACCTGAAACTCATATAATTTTAAATGTCAAGTGTAATTGAAAAAAATTTTAAAAATCTATGCTGCGCTTCACCTCAGCCTGGGTATTGGGCAGCAGAGCCCTTCCTTGTGGTCCAGGAGATCTAGGGCCTGTGAGCTCCCCATGTGTCATGATGGGCGCAGGGTTCCTGGATGAAACTTGATACTTATGGGGGCCTTAATGTTGCCTTTCCTCATCCTTGCTGTGCAAACCCGGGAGTGCAGAGCCAAGTATTATAGAAACACACAGTGAAATTTCGGGGAGGGATTTTAGGGCTCATTCAGTCCAATACCTTCACTTTACAGGTAAAGAAGATGAAGTCCAAAAAAGAGAAGGGGCATGCTCAACACAGGGCTCCATATGAGCAGTTATACTAGAACTTGACTGGCTTGGCCTCTACTCCTGTGGTGTCTGTAGAACGAGGAGGGTTGTGACTCAATTTCTTTTAGGAGAGCACAAAGTCATTATTTTCCATGTGTGCTCCTCTCCTGTGTTCTTCTGTCAGGTCTGTCCCCCTGCATGGCCATCAGCCCATCAAATACACAGACATATTCCATGAACAGCCAAATGCATCATGGAAAGGGCCAGCATAAGTGATGAGTACTTGGAGAGGCCCAGCTTGAGTTTTCACCTGAAAGATGGACACCCCTTCGCCCCCTTGCAGAGTTCCAAGCTGGCTCTGCACGCAAGCTGAGTCTCCAGTTTCTGATAAGTGGATGCAGACATGCTCTATCCTGGTCACTGACTCATCCATTTGAAGCCACCTCATGCTTCACAGATGCAGGAGCCATCCTTCTCAGGGGGGAAGAAAGGAGAACGGGAGGAGAGAAAGAAGGAAAAGAAAGGAGGAAATGGCAGAAGTAAAGAAGGAGGATGTAAATGAGCTCTAGTCTACTGGGATAAAAAGGACCCAGGCCAGCCCACTAGACAAAACTTCTCAGTACTAGCATCCAGGTGCCTCTATTATGTTTTAAGTCCCGGCCATAGAGAGTTTTGCTTTCTCATTTTCCCCCCGAAAATAAAACTCAAAGCTCTCACTTCCTCATCATTTCACTTCCAGTTCAAATCTTAGAAGCAGCATCTTCCACACCTACCCATGCGGCATGTCTGGCCCACTCCCCCGTAGCCTTGAATGACACAAGAAGTTCTGAAATTTGCTCAGCTGCGAAGGTATTTTACCACCCTCTTCTCAGCTCCCACATTCTTGGATTTCCAAAGCCACTCTAGCATCGACCAGGCGCTGCTCTGATGTCCAGCAGCCACTGTGAGGTGGTGTTGCAGTTCCCAAGGCCTGGCTGAGAGGAACCTGGCAGTGAGTGATCAGTCTAGTACCAGAAATCTCACCTCTTAGGGACATGTCACACCGACCACCCCTGACTTCAGAGTCCGGCTGTCCTTTCTATGTTATACCTTGGGATGAGCTGTAAATTTACATGTATAAATTTATTCCCATGCTTGTTATTTTTTAGCGTCTCAGCTGTCAACTTCTACCCAGCATGGTCTGTCATCCCTGACTTTCTTAACTTAACGATTCTCCAGGCCCTGAAATCACAGGTTCCCAGGCCTTATCTGCCGGGCCGGGTCTTTCTTTAACTTTATGTTTCACCAGATCAGAGCTCTCCTTTGTTTGTATCTTACCTCTTTCCAGACCCCCATTCCATCCCATTAAACTTATCAAGCATTTATTGAGCATCCCCTGAGATCAGACACTGGGGAGGCACTTCAGGATTTGCAAAGGAGCATAAGACATAGCTTCTGTCCTCAGAGAACTTCCAATCTAGTGGAGGAGTAAGACAAACACAGAGATAACCATGATGCAAGGACCAATGTGTATGGCCTTCTAAAACGGAGATGAGTCAGATGGCAGGAGAATCACACTGGTCTGAGCAGAGGGAGGTGATATTTGAGGTGGGTCTCATAGAGTGTGTATGATTTTAACAGATGGAATTGGTAAGAAGGCACCTATGGTCACAGGAAGTTCAAGAGCAAAGGCAATAAGATAGGAGCAGGGGTGCATATGTGATTTCTCACACCTGCTCTATCAGGTAAGGTTCTATAGGCTACGAGTGACAGAAAAATCAATGAAAAGCTGTTTAATAATAAGGACCTTTATTATTTCCCATAACAAGACAGTGGTCCCAGGATTGGTATATTTAGCAGCTCGATATCAGGGCTCAGTGTCAGCTTCTCTGCCCTGTTCTTGGCTTTCCCTCTCACAGCTTAGAGACAGCTTTGGGGGCTCTAAGCACCCCCTCCTCACACAAAGCTCAAAGGCAAAAAGGGGCATGTCTCAGCAATTCTTTTTACAAGTGAGGAATATGTCTCCAGAAAGCCCAGCAGGCTTCCCTTCATCAGCAGGACAGCATCACCTGTCCGTGCCTTGACTTTTCGCTGGCAGTGGGGACTGGAACTGACTTAAGGAAATCAACATGCACCTCCAGGACCTGGGGAAGATATGCGCCTAAGTGGGCACTTGAGTGACAAAGAACAGGAAGTTTCTGCCCTTGCGTGCCTGCTTTCTCACATCTTTGTAAGCCTATGCACAGCCAATTCCTTCTGCCTGGGGTTCCATAGTGACACTTTGACATGCCCACTGGGAGCTCCCAAAGTTCCCTCCATCCTCAACCCACACTGAGTTACAGCAGTCATTTTATTGTTTGCCAGCTCCACTGGATTCTGAGCATGTTAAGAGCAGGAACCATTTTTTAATCATCTTGGGCGCCTAGCATTTAATCACTTTGTATGGCCTACATTAGATGTCCAATATATAGTTGTTGAACTGAATAAATGTTTGGAGCATAAATGAATGCGTGAGTGGGGGACATGGAGCTAGGTGATGTAGGTGCGGGGAGGTACTATTTGAGTTCGGTCGTGTAGAGTTTATAGGTAGTTTTGCACCTCTTCTTCCTTTGCATCTACACGTACCCATTGACCAAAATCCACAGGAGATTATGGGGTAACTGGTACTGGGCAGCTTAGCACCACCTTCGATAAGCTTATATAACAGAGACAGGCAAGCAATTTCCAGGCTGTAACTTCATTAGAACGTGAGTAAGCGAAGCCAGGAACGGGGAGCTGAGGGAAGCAGAAGTCCTCCCTGTAGAAACTGATGAAATATCCTTGGCCATTTAGTAGAATCTCAGAGGTACAGTGCTCACCCTCACCTTGGCAATTCATAGTTTTTGATTCCAGATAAAAACTCATAATGAACAGATCACAGCTACAGATCTGATGAGGTTGAATATCTTTGTGTTGAGTAAAGCTTCTTTCTCTTGATAAGCCCTCAGCAAGAATGTACAGCCAATAAAGCCACTTGAAGGTTTTATTAAATTCACATCTTCACTAGACAGGCTGCAGGCAGTGGGGTTATAATTATTACACACCCCAAATAGAGCCCAAACAGGAGGGATCCCAGGGTTTGGGGGGAGGAAGCATCAGCACCTCCTGCTGAACTGTGGCGCACCCTCCTCCTCCCCGTGGTCAGTCATGACTCCCCCCACCCCCAGTTCTGAGGGAAGCAAACACATAAGTAAGCCCCACGGACTGGTTCCCCTCTGTCCTCTGCTGTGCCAGCCCCCTTCAGTGTCCAGGCAGTTGAGGAATGTTATGTGAAATGAGATGGGGAAGCTGAGGTTGTGTCTGCAGCATTAGCATTGTGTTTGGTTAAGAGCCCATCCTCTCTAGCCAGGAAGGACTGAGTTCAAATCCTGACTCTGCCACTTATGAACTCAGAACATGGGTCAAGTTATTTCCTACACCTCTCTGAGTCTGCTTGTTTCTCTGTAATGTGAAGCAAGTATTAGCCCTTCCCTCATAGCGTTATTGTGATGAACAAAAGCCACGTGCGTGCGTGTGGGGCCAGATGGAAGGTGCCTGTTGCAGAGTTAGCATTCAATAAATATTATGTTTTATTGTTTTATTATTCTCATAATAAAGAAGAAGGCCTGCTTCTTTGGAAACAAGTAGGGGTAAAACAAAAGACTTCTTGGAGAAAGTGAGCGATTGTATTCCACCCAGAACTATGTGAATTCAGTCCTCAAGAAATGTCCTCCCAGGAAGAGGGACAAGAGGGACAAAACAAAGGCACCACCAGAGAGTGAGGCTGATTTGTTTTGAAAAGAATCTTATGATTGGAAAAGAAAACCAAATCTGCTCCGTGAAATTGAGCTACAGATAATAAAAGTGTCAATGTGGGGCAGCGGTCAGAATACCGACTCTATTGAAAAAAAAATCATCAAAGTTCAGAAAAATATACACTCGGGCACCTTGTCAGTGCACATCTCGTTCCCCTCAGTGTCACCCTGGCAGCGGATCTGCTTCGTTTACTGATAACAAAAAGAGAAAAAAAAAGAAGAAGAAAGTTTCTTCTAACCCCCAGGCCGAGCGCCCGCAGGGCCAGCACAGCGTCCATGGAAGATGACACCGGCACCCTGTCCCCAGCCTCGTGCATCCTCAGCTGAATCTAGGGCTGCGCGCAAACTTCATTATTCCCCCAGCCGCTGGGATGAGGAGCAGGGGGAGGGAGGAAGACTCTCCTAGTTCAGAGGGAGGCTGGAGCGTCTCCCCAAAGCTCCCTTCTTCCCTGGAATTACAGGGGCCCCCGTGAGCCTGGCCGTAGGCGAGCTGGCACATCAGGCAAAGGGGCAAGGTGGCGGCAGCTCCGCAGAAGTCCAGAGCCCACCCAGGTGAGTGTGGGGTTAAAAAGTATGCACCTGTCCTTTTCCTGAGGCACACCAGCACCTTGAACAACCCCGATCCTTCCTAACACTGCCTTGACAGCATGGCCCTCTAGAACCTGAACAAACTATGAGCTCCTTGGAGGCAGGGGAGGAACGGTATCTGCCTTTGTACCCGCTGACCTCGCGCGGTGCCTGGCTCATAGGCAGTTCTCAATACACGCATCATGAGCTACCTGAATAGAACTGCAGGGGAAGAAAAGAGGAAGGGTTTATTTCCTCTAAATGTTTTTGAGGTCTACACATTACCATTATAATGACACCTCTGAGAAAAACAGTTCTCAGTCTGTGATGTAATCATCATCACCCGAGCAGCTTTTGGCAATGGTAACTGTCTATGAATGCGGCGGTGAACTTGAATTTCTGGCAAATTGCAGGGGTGCCTCCGGGTAGGTAAGTAGCCAGAGAACAGTCAGCCGGCCCCACGCGGGCGCGGGCGGAGCCTCAGTTGCCAGCGTGCCCGGTGGCTTAGACCCACCACATTCCATCCAGAGCTAACGCACCTCCCCGGCGCCGGGCGCCGCCTTGTCGCCCGTCCTTCGGCCCGCCTGACCCTCAACGTCACGGCTCAGACCACGCCCATCAGCGGTACCTCACTTGACACTTCTGGAGTCTGGGGATTGTTGCGTCGTCTGGTGTCCGCATTCAAAAAGGTAAATGCTCACTGTCCCTTTGGAAGATGACGGCTTCTTACATTCCGCGCACGGCACCTCCCCGCCGCCCCGGGAGTCCCTTCTTCTCTTGGTGCTTCGCTGGGATCCTTTTGGTGGTCCTAGGCCTCTTGCCTCCCCAAACCACCGGTAGGGTATGGGAAAGGGTGTGAGTTCTGTAGGCGAACTGGGGCGTGTTGGGGAGGTGGCCCACCGGAACCGAGGGGCGAGGGTGCGGGGTATTTGGTGGGTCCGGTAAGAGGCACGGGGTTTGGTCTACTTTGGAGGCGCAGAGTTGGGGTGAAGGCGTGGCTAGAGCACCTCGGGGTTGTGCTGTGCTCGGATCCAGGGAGGTGGGGGACCCTGAAGGGACAGAGGTGACGGTTGCTTCGTGGTCGGCACTGAGCCTTGCGGAGGCTGGGCGGGGGTCAGTGATTGCCTGGGACCAAGAAAAAGCTTGCATGTTTCTGGACTGAGCCAAGCGGGATGGGAAGCGCAGACCCGGTTCTCAAGGTGAGGACCCAGGTGCCTGGGGATGTTGCTGGAGCCAGTAGTGTCGGTGGGAGGCTTTGCATAGTGTTCCCGGGACGGCGCGAAGCCTTGGTGAGGGAGGCTTTTAGGCCCTCTCTGATTTGGCCGGGGCCGGGGACGGGTAGGGGGGTGCGGGAGAACCGGGGGCAGGGAGCCCGGGTCCGGTGTTACCGGTTGTGTACTTTATACAAGTGTCCAGGCCAGCGGTACAGCGCGTGCTGCCAGGAAGTGCGCTGCTTTCTTTGCATGGGGACTGGGGAGCGCATGTTTTGTAGGAACCCCTTGAGTGAGACCTAGCTCTAGGTCCAGGGATGTAGAGGGTTTTGGAAGGGCGTGCAGTGTTTTTTCTACAAAAGGTAACAGGCCTTTTGTTGCCCCAAAGCGTATTGTTATTGGTTTGAGACTGTTGCTTTAAAAACACACACACACACAAACAAACAAAAAAAACCATGGGGTCATTTTCCTATTCCCATCCAATATAGACATTATACTGTTCTATCCCCAAATGTCTTTTGGGCAATGTTTTTTTTTTTCCTTTTTGTCATTAGATTGGGTCCTGTTTGAGGTGAGATCTAAAACAACCTAAAACCTACTAATAGCCAAACCTAGTGAGAAATAAGTATCTTAAGAAATGATTGATAGGTAACTGTAATAGGGTTTTCCTCTAAAGCTCATAAACTAAAGCTGAAGATCATCCAGTAAGTTTGATATATGTTTCATTAAGTGGAATGAGTCCTAAAAAAATCATACATATTGTATAAAATGTACACAATGAAAGGGCAATTATTTTTAATACTTGGTTATAATTTTGTTCTGTCCTTACATGCACTTGGGTTTCTATGCCCCAATTATTTTAGGATCCTATTACATATACAGTTTGTATGCTGCATTCTTTCTACGGGGGACTCCAGCCTAGAAGTCCCCCGATTTGCCACAGATGAATGAAAGAGAGAGTCCTTGGAGACCCTGTTTTCCTGTCAAGGAAAGGGGAAGGAGATCCTCTCTAAAGGAGAATGCCCCAAGACCCCGGTGTCCAATGACTTGTATTAAGAGGGTTACAAGCTGGGGGATAGGTAGCAGGAATGTATAGGTAATCTAATTATATAAGTAATTTAAGCTTACAGAGAATAGGTGATGTCTGAAGAAGACAATGGCAGGGACACACTGAACTGCTTGGGTCTGAGATAAGCAAACATTATGGCACCAGCTGGAATTTGGGACAAGGTCCAGGAATTCTGTAAATTTCTTTCCCAGCCTTAGCTGGTTATCTAGTATAAGATTAACAGAGCTTGAGGGAGAAACAAAGCATGCTTCAAGGAGCGCAATTTACTTCTAGGCCTGATTTCCCCTGGGGGCCCTCGGAGTTATTGCCAGGTCCTGCCTATCAACCGCATACCCATATACCAGCCAAGTCTACGGGTCTTCTCCCAGGCCCCAGCTTGAGCGGGACTACAGTCCTCAATGCCACTCAAAGCGGCCCCCTACATCTTTCCTTAGCAGAACTCATTCAAATATTTGCCATGCGTGTGTCAGGTCCTGTGCTGGTTCTGGGGCTACATGGGTGAGCCATAACAAACCATTCCTGTTTCCATGATCCTTGTTTTACTCTTTTTCTGTTTGCACCTACACGTGCACACACAGGGACATAAGCAGGGACCAAAAAATATTTGCTGAAATTTATTGGGACTGGCAGACAGTAACCAAACCGTAACACTAATAGCCTTTAACCCCAGACAGGTCCTCTGGAGGGAAGGAGCATGGTTCTCTGCCAGCGTTTAACGAATGAGTGGTCAAGGGGAGACTTTTCTGCCCATGTGACAGGCCAGATGCTGCTGCTGCTTTGGGGCCTTGGCACTTTCTGTCCCTCAGTCTGGGAATATTCTCCTGCTGCCTCTTACAAATTGGCTTCTTCCTACCCTTCAAACTCATTTGTGATCTTACTCCTGAGGGACCGTCTCTGACTAAACTATCTCCATAAGACACACACACTCCAGCTCCAATCCTCCCTTACTTGTCACTCTTCCAAAACTTTTCCTGCCCTCTCTCCCCTGGGATGCATAGATCTTGCCTGTCTGGTCACATTGGCGGCTGCAAAAGCCCATTTTTTTGCCTCAGTATCAACACACTTGTACTGAATGCCAGAAAATTAGGTATAATATTTAACTGGGGCTCAGAGCCTAGGAACAAATCCCTCCTGCCTCCGGGAGGGACGTGTTTTAAAGGCCTTTCAGTGGTGCCTATAAAAAGCTAAGGCAGAGACAGCTGCAGATCAAAGAGGCTCTGTCTTTTCCTGTTTACGTAGAGTCTGCAGGGCTCAGGTTGTTCCAGTGTTCTTGTTACTGATCATCAAAAAGTTTGTTTCTATGAGGGAGGGAAGGGAAGAGTGGCGGTAAGAAAAAAACTAAAGGAAATTTTTAAAGAAGAATAAAATTTAGTATAGTCTTAACACTAGAGTTGGAGAACACTATGAGTGCTATTTGGAATAGAGGAAAATAGATAAAATGTAAGGTGCAACATGGAAGATAACAAAATTAGAAACGAAGGGGATGAAAACAAGGTTACGTTTAAGGTTGAAGGTTAAAATCAAGATAAAATAAAACTTAGAGAAAGTAAAAATGAGAAATCACTCTGCTGGGCAGGGAAAACATGTGAATAAAATAAACATTTTCCTCTTGAAGCAGCTCAGAAGAAGGTTTGTAAGCAGATAGTGTCGTGCGTGGGATACTTACATCTCAGAGAGGTTGTCAAATGCTAGGAAGTTGCAGAAGGGAACACCTGTGTTTCCAGGAGCGATCTCACTCATCCAGAAGGGTTCTTCTTTTTGGAAGAACCAAATCCATGATATACTGTTATATGCGGTCTCTAATACCTATTTCAGGTTCGTCCTCCCCTCCCCTCCCCTCCCCTCCTCCCTCCCTTCCTTCCTTTCATTAAAGAAACTAAGATCAAAAGTGCTTACATAGTAGTTTCTTAGTTTCCTTAGTCTGCATATTGCAGTGCAGACACTAGTCCTTTGCCTATCAATTGCTAGGTTACAGGGTACTGGCAGATAGGCAACGAAAGAAATTATGTATCCAAATTCTTCTCCAGAGCAGACAGTTTTAAATGATTATTGTCAATATTATATTCATTACAACATCTTCTTCCCCATTTTTTTATTTTGTATATGTTTATATGTTATAAACATTTGTTTATATGTTTTTTATTTGACAGCAGTGGTACATTGAGTGTCAATTTTTTTTTTGAATAGCTACTATGGAGGACATTGTGTGCTAGGTGTTATGGCCACAGGGATAAGTAGCATCGGCCATGTTAACTAATAAACACAAAAACATCTGCTAGTGACCTGACAGATCCATGCATAAGAGAGTCCAGGAATAGCAGACTGGTCGCTGCCTCCTTCGGGGAAGGAGAAAATGCTTCCTAGAGGAGATGTTGGGTGGATTAAGTCCACAAGATGAGAGCCGAGCAGGAGTTACAGCTGAGCAGGGAGGAAGGGTATTCAGAGCACAGGGAGCAGTGGGAGCGAAGACTGAGGGATGCGATAGGGCCCCGGACATTCATGGACTCTCCAGCTATCCTCTCTATCCACTGTGACAGCAGTAGAACCAAGGAGGCAAGAGAAGCGTAGAACTAGATCAAAGAGTCACTAATTGTAAAAAGGAAGAGGACACTTAGGAGTGAATCATTACCACCATAAAATTCATACTGCAATGTCATTACCTATCCTTTTAGAGAAACTTGAGTCCTTCTGTTTGACTTAGTACAATGCAAATCTAAAGTACCATTGCTATAATTTCTCCAGGCTTAGTAGAGGAGCATTTCTTGAAGACTAAATTGCAGGCATGGTGTGTTGGTGTAAGCATGCAAGTGTTCCAGATGGGAAGCAGTGTTTGTAGTAGAACCAGGCTTCCTGGCTTGACTCCTGGACCAGTTACCTACTAGAAATGTATTCTTGGGCAAGTTACTTTACCTGCCTATACTTCCTTTTGCTCATATTAAAGAGGGGGAAATAGTACCCAACTCATCGCATAGTTATGAAGATTAAGTTAGTTAAAAAGCACCTGAAATAATGGTTGACACAGGTAGTGCTCCATGTTTGCTATGTCTAAAATTATTCATAACATTACTATTGTTGCAAGAATCAAGTACTAGAATCTTTCATTGCCATATTTTAGGAAAAAATATAATCTACAGTATTTGGAATTCAGTTTTGGTAATATTTAAAAGCCATTTTTAATAATAACAGTAATGAGAAATGGGTGCCTAATAAACTAACCATAAATATTTTGACATGAAAGAAATTTAAAACTCTGATAAAGGGAAATGTCTATAAATAAATTAATAAAAAATGAACACAGGCATAAAAATAACAAAGAAAAGTTATGATTTGGAGATCTCTTCATGACAAGCTGGCTGAACAGGAAAGAATTTAGTTTTGATCTAAGAGTGTATAGGTCTGATAACCATGCTCATTCAGCTTTGATGCCAGGTACCCGAAATGCAGTGATAAATGAGATGAGGTGCTCAAGGACAGACTTATAGGGAGCATAAACAATCAACAACTGCAATAGTAAAAGTGTGTAGAGAGAAAAATGGGGGAGCATGAGGACAGTTAAATCAATATTTAAGTGAGACGTGTCAACAGCTTCAAGGAAGCCGTCGCATCTAAGATAGAGCTGAAGGGTGAGCGGGTGGGAAGAACCGCAGGGTCTCCGATCAAAGCTGAAGGAAAATGATGCATGCAGGCCTAGGGTGCTAAAGTAACCCAAGAAATTTAAGTAATTTAATGGCCACTACAAGGAACCTGAATATGGCTTGCGAATAGTGTGCAAGAGAAAGCAAGATTCAGATAGTGACAGATTTTATTGTAAAAGTCTGTTAGCCGTGCTAAGAAGCCCTAAACATTATGTTGAGGGCATTGGGTGTCCATTGAAAAGTATCTGACTCGGGAGGTCCTTGGTCGCTGTGTCATATCAGTATTACTCTGGTAGCATTATGAAAAATGAATGAATAGCACCAAAGTTGGTGGAGACCTGTTCAGAAACTCTGGTCACAATCCAGATAAATAATAGTGGCTGTAGAAGTAAAGGACAGAGCTAGAGGGATGAACAGGCATTCAGTTGTGGAAACAATATAAGTAGTTTGTTGGGTATATGTGGGTGTGAAGAATCAAAAGAGCGCATTCTTTATATTACTTAAGATAGTATGACACTTTCCAAGTGGAGCTGTGTGGAGTGGCAATTGACTATGTAGACTTAGCACCCCAAGTAGAGATCTGGGATGGGGAGGAATTTGGGAGGCAGCTCTTCTCAGGGGTAATGAAGTCATGGGAGCATATCTACCCACCCAGGGGCTCTGCAGAATGAAATAACAGTGGGTCTGCAGAACGAAATAACAAGAGTTCTCAGATGGACCCATTAGGAACATAAGATTCTCCCATTCATTATCCGATCAGGCAGAGAGGGAAGACTAGCCAGAGGACAAGCTGAAAATCAGTTGGCTGTGCTGTCCTGGAAACCAAAGAGAGAGTTTTTTGAATAGAAAGGAGTGAAGACAGAGCAATCAATAGCTCCAGATACTATAGACAGGGTAACTAAAATTAAGAAAATGTTAGGATTCATTGACAAACAAAGAGGCCACTTAATGACTTTGAAAGTAATTTAGTGATTTTTTGTAGGCCTAGAAAAGAGTCAGAAGTGAGAAATAAAATAGGTGTAGATGCCAGTGTCTGCATTTTGGGAAGCAAAGAAAGTTTTAAAGAAGGCAGTGTAGACAGTGGGAGAAGGAGCAGGATGGTCAGGTTTCACTGGGCTCCCGTTTGGCCAGAGACCGTGATTTTCTGAAGGCGCCACTCAGGCAGGGCTGCGTGTACTCATGTCAGGAAGTGATTTTAATTTCTGGAAGCAGGTAGAGAGTGCTTACCCGGTTTTGGCAAATGTAGACAAGGTGAACCGTTCTTCTGGCCAATAGCAGAAAATGATTTCATTTTCCTAAAACTCACCTGTAACGTTGGAAAGTTTTCTGAATGCAGCGCGTCATATTACATAATGTTAACTATTGTTAAAGTATAGCATTGTAACCTAATAATAACTACATTGTAAACTGTGTAGAAAAATGTCAGTGTGCGGTTTTTCTGTATATGGAAATGTTTAGTTTGAATATCCTTGCTGGAAAAAAATTCAGTATTCTGAGCAAGGGAAGAAATTTGATTAAATTAGGCTCAGTTATCACAATGTATAAACCAAGTAGTCAGCTGGTTGCCAACCAAATTTTAAATTCTGCACATTGCTGAAAGCATGTCTTTCATAATGCATGTTTGTGGGAAGAAATACTTCAAATTAGTTGAATAGATTAAAGTAGTCAATTGACTTTTCCTTTTCCAAGCAGAAACTGTATATGAGAGTAATATTAGGCATCTTCTCTTCTTAATCTTTTTATACAAAGTTACAAAGGTTGAATGCATAAAACAAAGAATACATGTATCATTAAATCATGGGCATGTCATTACATGATTTCTTTCTTGGTGGTTCCAGGAAATTCTGGAATGATGTTATGTATTCTGAGTGGAATTTTATAGCATTTCTAGCTCATGGGGTTTTTTTTTCCCCTATTGTAAGAATGTCTGTCTCACTGTATTTAATAAATGTAATGTTATTAATAAAACTCACCTCTGTACTAATCCTCTTTTTTAAGATGCTATTAATTATTAAGGCTTTTGGTTTGCCTTTTGTTTTTGTTTTGTTTCAGGCAGTTGTATTCAGATGCTGAGGTCAGCATAAGAGAAATGTTGAAACATTTTGCCAGTAGGTTGATTATAGATTATGGTGGACTATGTATATAGAGAGAATTTTAGAATTTAGAATATGATATGAAATAAAAGTAAAATTTCACCTGCTTAGAGTTCTTTTGGCTGGTCTTGCAATCCGAAGACCAAGGTTCAGGGAGTAAGAGAGGAAAGGTTTCTCAAGAATCAAAAGAGATCCTTCTCCTTAGGCCCTTAACCTTGTACGGAAGCCTCTGCATTCTTCTAGCTCTTTAGGACTTGCTGTGTCTCTATCACATTATTTTAAATAATTGTCCTAACACATTTGTTAGGTTTTCGAGCCCACAAAATATTTAAAGGAAAGAAATGCTGCTGAAGTAGAAATAGCAATAGGGAGAAAAAACTACTAAAAAAACAAAAGTAAATAATTTTAAAGCAAAACAATATAGTAATTTTATTGTCGGGAACTGTTGGATGCACAGCCCAAACAGCTACTTCAAGGAACTTCTGAGAGAATATATGATCCATTGATCCATGAAGAGAGATTAAATTACATTTAAAATAATGCCCAAGAAAGCAGTGTTTTCTTCTTCAAAGGGTATTAAAAGTAGTAAATGTTGATATCTAAATACCTGTTCACATATAAAATGCTCAGTTCACTGATGTGAAACATATGACATGAAGTCTTATATTTTGAAATAGTTTAGTCCATATTTATTTTGATCTATGAAATCTACAATGCTTATTTAATAATCACTTCCTAACATAGCATTTCTTGAGCACCCACTGGGTACAGAGAACGCATACACTTCTCTGTCCTCTGGGAACTTGCCTTCAGAGAGGAGACTGAGCCTGAAGTGACAGGTCATCATCAGTTCGTGTTTCAGACTGTGGAAGAGTAACCTGATCAAGGACTATTTACTATGTAAGTCTTCTTAGTGTAGAAGTAAGTGTGAAATGAACTCAGAAAAAAGTAGGAAAAGATGCATAAATATATATTTTTCTGACACCCCGGCCTTGAGAGTTGTCATTTCAGTTTAGTCTTGAGTGAATATTCACCTCATTCCCCAACAAAACCTAATAGAATGTTATTTTAAGTTAGCATGGCACATCCTCAACTACCACCCCCACTTGTGTAAAAGCATGAAACAAACATTTAAAAGCCTGCCACGGACCTTTCCATTTATTCTGCACTACGGACCTGCTGCCAGACTACAGCCCATGGCTGATGAAAATGATAAAACACTTTATTTGCCTGTTGTTATTCTCTTATGCCCAGATGCCTGTGGTGATCCACCAAGATTCCACTCTATGATGCTCAAGGGTAGACCGGCACCGTCTTATCGTCATGGGGACAGAGTTCAATTTAAGTGTCGTTTAGGATACAAGCGTATTGTACCTTTTCTCTCTACCACCACTGTTTGTCTACCAGATAACACATGGACACCCCTCCAGGAGGCTTGTACAAGTAAGTAAAGAAAACTTTTATTTTTATTACTCTGGAGATTTTTACACATGTTAGCATATTTTACTACTGCAATGATGATATTCTCATGGGAATGAGGATGTTAGATAGCAGTGTCTTTGAAAATCTCTCAGGAATCTTTTCCTTGGCAATCGCTTGTCAGGATAAATGTGAATCTTAAGTTTGGCCTTTAAATAGTTAAATGAATTTAAAAGAGCAGTGTAGAATTTTGATTTTGATTCAAATATGTTTTAAAATTGATATAAAACAATAAATTTGTAATTTTTCTTTTAGAAAAATCATGTTCACAGCTAGGAGAACCCCTAAATGGGAAAGTAGTCTTCGTAAGTGGAACTTTCCAGTTTGGTTCACAGGCTCACTATGTTTGTAATGAGGGGTAAGTAGTTGCTCCTTAAAGGACTAACATAAATGTTACTAGTTCTATGTTCGGTTTGTTTCTCTTCTTCAGCATTCCCATAATGTTGATTTCATCTAGCTTTCTGTGTAACAAGCTGGACTTGCAGCAAGTCAGCTCTTGGTATTTTTATGGAGACTGAAAAGATGTGATATGAATAGAAATTTAAATTGAAGGAAAGGAAAATTTTATAGCATTATATGTAAGAATAAATTTATCATTAGCATTAAAAATGCAATAATCATGGTGACATTACTTTAAGAACAAATTGCACCCTATTGAACATGGCCAACTCTCAGAGTTGAAGGAGGGCTTATAGAATGAGAGAATGGATTTGCCCACCAAAGATATTATTATATCAAGATAATTCTGTAAAGTATCAAAAGAAAATTGACCTTGTTAGCCTGGACCATAAAATTGATCAATGTCTCTTAGTTGAAAAAACTTAAATTTGAGACGGAATGAAGGTCTCAAAAACAAGTACCAAGCTCTTCATGTAGCCTTGTTCTATAGGGCCCTTTTAATAGTACATATTTGAAAATTTGTGAAAAATATGCATTTTGAGTATAAATACAATACACTATAAAAATGCAACTGATTTTTTAAATTGACTTTGTGTGCTGCTACTCTGCTGTATTCATTTATTAGTTCTAGCAGGATTTGTGTATGTGTGCGCGCGCGCGCGCATGTGTGTGTGTGTGTATGTGTGTGTGTATAGTCTTTAGGGTTTTCTATATATAAGACTTTATTATCTACAAACAGTGGTAAGTTTCAATTTTAGTTGATCTTTCTGACCAAAGAACTTTTAATTTGATTTCTTTTTCTCTACTCTTTTTCTTTTCAATGTTTTGCTTATCTCTGCTCCAAACTTTATTATTTGCTTTCTTTGGCTAACACTGAATTTAATCTTTTTAATTTCCAAAGTTATAGAGTTAGGTTGTTGATTTCAGAGCTCTTGCTCTTTATTGTGTCTATAACCATAAATCCCTCCCTTGGAAATGCTTTTGCTGCATCCAGTAAGTTTTGGGATATTATGTTTTCATTTTCACTCATCTCAAAGTATTTTATAATTTCCCTTCTAATTTCTATTTGATCTAGTGGATGTTTAAAAGTGTGTTGTTTAATGCTCACAATTGTGTGAATTATCCAGTTTTCCATTTGATGTTGGTTTCTAACTTTGACAAGAGAAAGATTCTGAGATGTCTGAAATTAAATGTTAATTTCAGAAGACTGGAGGGGTGGGAGGAAAAGGCAAGAAGTTCATCAGTAAACAGACCCAAGAGCAGAAACAATGAGAAAAGCTGCCCAGTTTGCTAAATGTATGTTGAGCCATTGAATCACCTTGCAGACCTATTCCAACATAGTGTTTAGAGAAGAGCTGTTTCAGGAAATAGTCTAACTTAAAGAGAGATAGCTGACCACCAGTCTCCACTGCATCTTGCGTACACCTGTACATTCCAAACCTTTGCCCAAAAGCAATCCCAAAGCAGCAAACTCTTCTTCCTTATGGATTCTGTACCTATGCCAGAATTAGATTAGCTTTACCTTCTCTTGCCCTCCTTACCTATAGCCATTGTCAATTATTTCAAAACAACTTACTAAAACTTACAGAGTATTCACTATATTTCAGAAGCTAATTTATCTATTATTCAGAACAACCCCATGGTATATACTATTATATCACTTTCATAGATGAGGAAACTGAGAAAGAGAAACATTAAGGGTAACTCAAATAACAAGTCAGTCTTGCAGCCAGGGCGTGAATACAGTCAGGTAAGCTCGAGGGCCAGATCTCTCTACCAAGGCGCTCTACTGAGCCGAATGGCATGAGCAAGTTCAGAGAAGCGAATGTGGATGTACCTCCTGGAAACATAAAAGAAGCTAGGCTGTCAGGCAATGACAGATTTATTTAGACACTTTCCTCTAAGTCTGTGCATGCTCAAATGCAAAATCTCTTCAAGTTGACCATTTGCTTAGCAGTTCAATACGTTCTGTTGAAGAAACTTCTCCCTCAAACTACTGTAGTGCAGAAAAACCACCCCAGAAAAAATTTTCTTTATAACTATGTGCTTCTTCTTAACTGATAAAGAAAACAGTAATCTTTTCTTTTCTCGCTTAGTTATTACTTAATAGGAGCACAAATTCTACACTGTAAACTTTCTGGAAATAGTGTGGAATGGAGTGACAGTCCCCCACTGTGTGAGAGTAAGTATACCCTCTCTTTAGGCTTTGGGGCAGCAGTGCTCAGACTTTTGGGCCTGGGGACCCCTTTATGTTTTTAATTAACAAAGACCCCGCAGAGCTTATCTTCAGGTGGGTACGTCTATTGCTATTCATTATCGTGGAATAAAAATTGATGCATTTTAACAATACATTATTTACATATTCATTTTTAATCACTCAAAGCTTGGTACATTTTTGACTATGGAACTTTGACATGAAAAATCAAAACTTTAGAAACGAGTGATGGAATAATGGCATTGTGTTCCGCATTTTTCAAATATCTTCAAGTCCTGGGTTAGAAGAGGACCTCCGGATTCAGTGTGTTGCATTGTCAAACCATTTGTAGGCATTGGAAGTTTCACTGTGCACTCATAAGGATGGAAGTGATAAAGGACGGTAATATCTGGGTGTACCTGTGGACCATTGATTTACACATAGATATAGTTACAAACTATGAAGCATTCCTCAATTACCACTCAGTTTTATTTTTAATCCCCAGCAAATTTTCTAATTAAATTGTCAACCTCTCTAATGAGAGCAAACTTGGAATGGCCTTGAAAATAATACAGCTATTTCACATAGGTATCTTCTATAGATATTAAGAAAACAACTTTTATTTTAAAAGTACAGTTCAGCATTAGTGTTTTGAATTGGTATAATACATTCTCTAACAGAAACTTTCTTCTTAATGGACATCGGATTCACAACTAGATTGTAGAAATTATGTTAATAAATGAATTGAAGGTAGTTAACAGGACATTACTAATACTGTCTTCATCTTTAACCATATTTTTGCCTTCTATGTCTTTTTTTTCCTCTTTTTAAGAGATTGTATGTCAACCTCCTGAAACAATATCAAATGGGAGATATACCAATAGCTACAAGGATACATTTGAATACAATGAAGTAGTAATTTATAGTTGTAATCCCTCAAATGGACCAGATGAATACTCACTTGTTGGAGAGAGGAAGCTTGTTTGTTCTGGGCATAACCTATGGAGCAGTGACCCTCCTCAGTGTAAAGGTAATATTTCCATATATTTCTTTCTTCATTTGTAAATAGTATGGAAACGCTTTGAAAATAATTTTACTAAAAAGTAAAACAGTCATATGAGCTTGCTCGTCCTGTTAATTGGTTTTTAAATTAATTTACTATAGGTCAAATAAAATAAAAAAAAATTTAGTTGTAGAGTTCCCCACTCCTCACCCCACGTGTTCTTAGTATTTCACTGTATACATTGTGGATTACTGTGTATATGCATGAATTAAGACTTTTTTTTTTGCTTGAAAGCATCATAAGACACACACTGGCTTAAAATAAAGTCTTATAATACAGGATACATAAGAGTTCTGGCCACAGGAAATGGTAAAATGTAAAAGACTAACCCTCTCACCATCAAGACTGATAAACTCTGGATAAAACATATGGGCATACTTATTTAATTGCACTTTGCTTTTTTGCACTTCACAGATGTTGCAGTTTTTACAAATGGAAGATAACAACCCTATCAGCAAAACTATAATGACTTACTTTATTATGATACTTTATTATGACACTTTATTACTGTGGTCTGGAACAAACCTGCAATATCTCCAAGATATGCCTGTACCTAAAAAAACAATGTTAAGGCATTCGAATGTGACAAAAACAGGGAGACAACTAGAGTGTGTTTGACTCTTGAGAGAAAGGAACTACTGTATAACAGCAAAATGTTTTCTCTTTTCAAGTGCATAGAGAACAAGCTCTAATAACATATTCTAGGCAATAAGATAATCTTTTCAATTTCCAAAAATTGAATTCATTTACTGTACAATAAATATTTATCACAATGGCATGAATGTAGAATAAAAATGAAGGTAGTATCTGTAAAATCCCCAAATATTTGAAAATTAACCAAGGTAATACTAACTAACCAATGAATCAAAGAACAAGTCACAAAAAATTTAAAAGTGTTTTGAATTAAATAAAAATGAAACAGAACATGTCAATATATCAAAATTTTGGGGACAAAACAAAAGCATTGCTTCGAGGGATATTTGTAGCATGAAATACTTATATTAGAAAAAGAGAAAGGTATCAGAGCAGAAATCTAAGCTTCTATCTTAAGAATCCCAAAAAAAGAGCAATTTAAGCCAAGAACAAGGAAACAGAGGGAAATGATAAAACTAGAAATCAATGAAATTGAAAAGAGAAAAAAATAGAATCAATAAAATAAATGCATGGCTTTTGGAGAAGATCAATAAAATAGATAAATCTATAGCCAGTTTGACAAGAATAAAAGAAGATAAAAATGACCAATATCAAGAATGAAGAAGGCATGACTAAATGTCCTATAGACATTTAAAGGATAATAAGGGAATAACAATTTTATGCCTATAACTTTGACAACTTAAACCTCTAATGAAGAGAACTGGGGGGCCCATGTCCTCGCTGGGGAATTCTGCCAAACCATTCATTCATTCTACCATTCCATTCATTCAGGAATGAATAGTAGCAGCTCTACACAAAGTCTTAAGAAAAATACAAAGATGTATTGCCCTGATATCGAAACCAGATAAAAACTGTGAAGGAAAATTATGAACAGTATCAATTATTAACACAGAATCAAAACTTCTTAACAAAATATTAACAGATCAAATACTGTCATATGAAAATAACAATATCATAATTAAGTAGCATTTTTTCCATGAATAAATCTTGATTTAAATTTGAAAATTGGTCAGTATAATTTGCCATATAAAAAGAGCATAAAGGAAGGAAAAACACATGATCATCTTAATAGATGTAAAAAAATTTTATAGAATTTATCGTCTTTTCATGGTAAAACTTAGGAAGTTAAGAATTGAAGTGAGCTACCTAAATGAACCTGCCAAAAATCACCTACATTACATGAATCTCATAGTTAACATGATACTTAATGGTAATAGAATAATTTATTTCTCCCTAAAGTTGAAACAATACAGAGATGTTTACTCTTACAGTGGTAAGAGTAAAGAGTGGTATACAGCATTGCATTGAAAGTCATAGCCAGAACAATAAGGCAAGATATGGAAATAGGCATACATATTGAAAAGGAAGAAATAAAATAGATTTTATTCACTTATAGCATGATTGTCTGTTTGCCAAATATGAAAGACTGAAGTTTTAGATAAGAATTTAATGTGCAGTAATCAATTCTATGTCTATTACTGGCAATAGAAATCAAAAGCTTGAAAGTACTCTTTTCAACAGCTCCAAACTGCACAAATTATTTGCAAATAAACTAACAACGTATATGCAAGATTTGAATGGCAAAACCAACTGAACACTTAAAAGAGATTAAACAAGACATTAATAGAGAAAAACTTAGTGGTCATAGATGGAAAGACAATAGAATAAAGATGCCAATTCTCTTTAACTGATCTATAAATTGAGAACAATCTCAATAAAAAATGCCAAGACAAATTTTTATAGTAATTGAAAGACTAAAATTTATATGGGAAGAAACTCAAAACTATTTTGAAAAAAATTAGAAGAGTCAATCTTCCTAGTGTCAAGACTTATAAGATAGTGTGGTATTGGTGAAAGACTGACCATAGAAAACAGTGGAACAATATAGAGACCCAGAATCGACCCCTTTAAACCATGTTGATTTCATTACAGGTATACAAAACATGCAGTGGAATATGGTAAAAGTACAGGGACAATTGGATAACCGTATGCAAAAACATTTTTAAAAAAACCCTTAGCTCATGGTAGGACCATATTTGACCATTTATTGAAAATAGATCTTAGGCTTAACTTTAAACCTATAACACTTACACTGGAAAACATAGAAAATACTTGTGACTTGGCCAAAGAATGTTAAATACAATTCAAAACGCATGATCTTTTAATGAAAAATAATTAACAAATTGGACCTCTTAAAAACTGAGAAGTTTTTCTCTCAAAAGACATTGTAATAAGAATAAAAATTAAATGAGAGCAAACACTGGGATAAAATATTGGCAAACATTTCTGTTATTGGACTTGTATCTATTATGTATATAGAAACACAATAATAAGAAAACATCCTAATTTTATTAAATGGGCAAAAGATTTGAATAGATCTATTTCACCAAAGTAAATTTAAAGGTGGTGAAAAGTACACAAAAAGGTGCTTAATCCAGTTAGTAAATGCAGAAATGTAATTTAAAACCACAATGAAATTAAAAGCAAAAACAAACACCTAGTAGAACCATAAAGGATATGAAGCAATTGGAACTTTCATACATTTGTGTTAAGAATGCAAAGTGGTATGTCTATTTTGGAACAGTTTGGCAGTTTCTTACAAGGTTAAATATACATGTGCCATACAACCAGCAATCTGAGTAAATTAAAACATGTGCATGTAGAACCCTGTGTGAGAATCTTCTTAGCAGCCTTAATATAATCACATGCTGGAAAAGCAACATTATAGGGATGAAAACAGATCAATGGTTGGCTGGTTGGGTAGGTTCTTGTGGGTGGGGGTGGGAGTATTGATTACTAAGTGGCATGAGGAAATGTTGGATGTAATGGAATTTTTCAAAGTCTTTTTTGTGGTGGTGATTACACGGTTAGTGATTCCATTTATGAAATCTCACACACCTGTGCACTTAAAAGAGTTTTACTGTATGTAAATTACATTCAGTACACCTAACTTAAAATCATTAAGTGACTAACAGCACTTTAGCACAACAGAAAAAGATCAGTGAACCTAAATTCAGGACAAGAGAATCCAACATGATTTGAAAAAATATTAAAAACAGAGAGAGACACACGTAGGAAAGAGTAGCAAGCAATCAAACGTACATGTTATTGGAGTTTCAGAAAGACAGGAGAAACAACTGAATGGACAATTATTTGAATATATATTGACCCAAAATTATTCACATCTGAACCAAAATAGCAACTCCACAAGTCCAGGAATGTGAGTGACTCTAGCAGGTTAAATAAATTTTAAAATTTTCCCAAGAAATCACCATTAAATGAAAATGTTGTGATAAAACTACTGAGTTAAAGTAAAAGAAGCAGTGAGAAGGGGGAGAAATAAATATTACATTGCCCCTCCCCCCCATGGATTGAGAACCGACTTCTCTTGGAACGGTGGCAGAACTATGTAGACTAGGAGACAATAATATCTGCTCAAGTGCTGAAAGAAAACTAGAACACATCACCTAGAAATCTCTTTCACAGGGAGTTTTTTCAGACCTGAAGGTGAAATAAATAAAAACATTTTGAGATGAAGGTAAGAAAATTTCTCACCATCCAACCTGCACTACAAAAATTGCTAAAGGAAGTACTTCAGGGTAAATGGATACCATAACTGATGGAAATTCAGATCCACAAGTGAGGAAGAAAACCATTCTTCTGGTTTAAAAGATTGCACATTACTGGCCTTTATCTATTGCTAGGATTTAATCTCAAAGTAATCTATTTTACTTACTATACAGCTCAGTAGTTTGTTCGTTTGTTTCTTTTCCAAATTCTGCCAAACACATTCCTGGTTTCTGAAATCAATCTAGAGGGTTATGATCAGCATTTTACTTCCTAATTAGTAGAGTGTAACTGGAAATACCAAAGTACACGGGTATGGAGTCTAAGTATTGACTTTTAACTTTATCTCAGACCTGCAATATTATACATTGGGTTACAATGTAAATTGTGGTATTTGATTCTTGAGTTATCGTCCAAAATGATTGGTAAGCACAGCCCTAACTTCATTGGCCTTTCTCTTTAAATGTATGTTCTTTAAACATCCCAGTTCCTGTACATTGTGGCTACCTACAAACTTTCTTTTTTCGTATCTTTGCACAGCTCACTTCTTTTCATTACTTACATTTGAGCTCAAGTATAATGTTCTCACAAGAGTCTTTCCTGCCTTCCTAAAAAAGCAGTGTACTATAATTAGTGTCAGCGTGGTTTTCTTTTTTCATCCCTAGATTAAAGAGAATCCAAGTTTGCTTTTGAATTTTCCCAGAATTTGTATCTGGTAGTCAGACATTTCTCAAAATTTGGCAGCGCTGGAAAAACAAAAAGGAGGGAGCAAAATGGAGGAAGGACTCTGGCCAAAGACCACAGTGTGGTCGTTGCAAAGGGGAGGAGGACATAAGGCGAGGAAGTGGTAATAGAAAAAATACAATTGAAAAACATTTTTAAAGAGAAAACACTAGGAAATAAAACATAAAGGAAACCAGTAAATTATTATGACTGTCTGTTCGAGGTGGGAAAATATTAGATTTCTCTATATCTGTTTACTTGGAATTAAAATGCACAAATAAAGTCTTAAAAAATTAACATCCTGCCTCATCTCTTTGTTCCCAGGAAATTACTAACTTTGCACTTGCTTTTCTGTCCTACGTTAAAGCAACTTTCCATTAATTATGGAATTTCTCCACCTTTTAGTGGTCAAATGTAAATATCCCGTCCTCAAGAATGGAAGGCTGGTGTCAGGACTTGGAAAAAAATATTACTACAAAATGCAGGTTGTATTTGAATGCCTGGAGGGATTTAACCTTGAAGGCAGCAGCTCACTTACCTGTGGAGCTAACAGTACTTGGGAACCTAAGATGCCAAAATGTATTAAAGGTACAAAAAGTGTCTTTTTCTTTCTTTTTTTGGGTTTTTTTTTTGACATTTACATTTTATTTCTTGACATCAATGATACAGGATTATTGGAAAGAAGCAGTTTTTGTCATTAACTCTATCTTATATTCATTTCCATGACAGATGTATGACATAAAATCTGTTATTTATATTTGTTAGCACATTATGTACTATTATAACGTTAGCACATTATGTACATCACACGGGTGCTTAAATTTCTGTTGTTTGGCATTTTTGTATGTAAAATGTGTAACAAACATTTTCCCAATAAATTGAAGCATGGAAAACTTTACCTGTGTAAGTCAAGAATGAAAGGCATCATATGATATAATGAAAATAATAACCATTGGTTGACCATCCTACATTATTTTGTTTTCTAAATGTCGACTCCTCCCAGGAAAACACCTACAATTTCCTGTGTCTCAGGTTTAGTAACTTCTTGCTTTATTTTTCAAAATTGTTTAAATACCTGTTGATCTTTTAAAAAATCCTTTGAATGTCGGGTGATTTACAGTCGTTCATAATTTTAGTAATAAAAAGAAAAATGACATATTTACAGCTATTCTAGCTGTTATACTAGTGATTCTAAATTGATTTGTCATAGTCCACAGATATAAACAGGTGTGTAAACTTGGGCAAGTTACATAAACTTTAAATGTGTTTTCTTGAATGTAAAATAACTTCTTCACTGGGTGATAGTATAGTTAAAATGGGATGCACTTTAAGCACTTAGCACAGTGCCTGGAATATAGGAAGCTCTTAAAAAAAGATCATTTATAACTTACAGCATTATTCCAGTCAATATATGTGAAGAGGAAGGTCCATGCCTTCCATGTTTTCTGTAATTGACTTTGCTCTTTTTTTCACTTTAAAAGTGACCTTTTGATAGCTTTATAGGGTATCTTTGTATGACCAGTTTAGTTCTTTTTATATAGTACCATTTAAACTGGGAAATGTTTGCTCTCTCCAAAACAAGACCCATTTTTCTACCACCTCTCCACACTTCATACAATTATTTTTTTATCTATACTGGGAATGTTTATTAGGCAATGGAAACTAAACTTTATAGCAACTGAAAGGCAGGAAAAATCTATATTTAAATGATTGCAAGGACTACTGATCAACTGCTCTGCTGAAGTCTTCAGAGATCCAAGAGTTCTGGTCAAGATGGCGGAGTAGTTAAGCACTGAGCTTGCCTCTTTCCACAACCATCGAATTACAACTCAGTTATATAACAATCAACATGAAGAAACACCTGAAGACTAGCTGAACTAGCAGAACTCATAACTAAGGATATAAAAAAGAGAGCACATCAAGACTGGTATGAGAGACAGAGATGTGAAATGAGCTGAACCCAACCCACATGTGGAAGTTGAGAATCAGGAGGGACATTGCGACTGCAGAGGTTCCCACTGAGAATTGAGAGGTCCTATTCCCACACCAGCCTCCCTAGACCAGCACTCCAGTTCTGGGAAAAGAAGTCCCCATGAAGGTGGCTGTGAAAATCAATGGCGATTCAGTCCAATCTTGGTAAGATGGATAGTTGCTAAAAACTAAGATGTTCTCCTAGAGGTCTGGCACATAGGCTCAGTCACTCACAAGTGGTCACCCTAAGCACCAGCAAAGGATCAGTAGCTCTAAAGGCACCAGAGACATATAGGGAGAAACTGAAATGTGTGGCTTCAGGACAAGGGCTGTCATTGTCTCTGCAGCCTGCAGGGACAGACAGGCACCAAATCTGAATCTGTGTTAACCCAGTAAATACCTCTCACCAAACCCTATTGATTCCCTGAGACTCGGCTCTACCCAATGTACACATTGCCCTTGGCTCTTTCAGTGGCTGTGGCTAGTGGACAGACATGGCCTGTGCTGCAAGCTTTCTTAAAATCTCTCCAAAGTCTACAGGCCTCAAGAAGGCAGTGGCTGGCCTCAGGGTGCCCTGTGTCTTTTGCAGAGTGGCCCAGGCCCACTGTGGGTAGCTGCCAGCCTCAAGACACAATGTGGTTTCTCATACAAGCCTCCTGGCCTAGCAGAGGCAGTAGCCATAGAATTACTTTGTAGCTCCTACAAGATGGCCCTGGGCCTGGCACAGGTAGTGGCTGACCTCAGCCTGTACTGGAGCCCCTCTCAAGAAGCCCCAGAACCAACGCATCTGATGGCCAACCTCATATCACAACAGAGCAACACTCAATTGCCTCCATAAAAAGCAAACCCAAAGGTTGGTCTTGAAAGGCACCAGAGCCCTGCTGAGGTGAATCACATTCCTTGGGATCAGCCCCTACTATGGTCATTGTCAGTCCTCACAGCCAGTCAGCCTGAGGGACTACCCCATCTATTGACAAGCAAACGGGAATCAAGGTTCAACTACAACAGGTGGAGCACACACAAGGGACTCTCTTGGAGTACCTGGTTCAGGTAACAAGGGAGACCATGCCAGTGGGCCCCAAAGGAAACCTACTACATAAGGCCACCTACGAAGATGGAAACAGCAGATCTAATATGTAGAAACAAACACAAAGGAGTCAAAATGAGAAGACAAAGAAACATATCCCAAATTAAATAACAGGAGAAAACTCCAGAAAAAGAACTAAACAAAATGGAAACAAGCAATCTACCAGATGCAGAGTTCAAAATACTGGTTATAAGGATACTCAATGAACTTAGGAGAAGAACAGATCAACGTAGTGAGAACTTCAACAAAGAGATAGTAAACATAAAAAAAATAGAAACCATAAAACTAACCAGTTAAAATGAAGAATATCATAACTGAAATGAAGAATATTTTAAAAGGAATCAACAACAAATTAGATGAAGCTGAGGATCAAATCAGTTATTTGAAAGACAAGATAGTGTAAAACACCTAATCAGAATAGCAAAATAGAAAAAGATATTTAAAAAAAAATGAAGATAGCTTAAAGGGCTTGTGTGACAACATCCAGGCTACTAATGGACACAGCACAGGAGTACCAGAGGAAGAAGAGAGAGAGCAAAAGATTGAAAACCTATTTGTGAAATAATGGCTGAAACTTACCAAACTGAGTGAAGCAAACAGTCACATCAATAGTCCAGGAAATGCAGATAATCTCATACAAAATGAACTCAAATAGGCCACACAAAGACATATCATAATTAAAATGTCAAATGTTAAAGATAGAATCTTAAAAGCAGCAAGAGAAAAGCAATAGTTACATACAAGTGAACCTTTCATAATACTGTTAACTGATTTCTCAATAGAAACTTTATAGGCCAGAAGGGATTGGCATGAAATATCCAAAGTGATGAAAAGCAAGGACTTACAAACAAGATTACTCTACCCAGCAAGGCTATTATTTAGAATCAAAGTAGAGATAAAGAGCTTCCCAGCACTTGTTGTTTGCTGATTTGTTTATGATGGCCATTCTAACTGGTATGAAGTGGTATCTCACTGTGGTTTTAACTTTCATCTCTCTGATGGCTAGTGATGCTGAGCATTCTTTCATATGTTTCTAGGCCTTCTGTGTGTCCTCCTTGGAGAAGTGTCTGTTCAGGTCCTTTGCCAATTTTTTAATTGGATTGTTTGTCTTCCTGGAGTGTTATGTGTGTTCTTTCTAAATTTTAGAGATCAAATCCTTGTCTGAGGCACCATTGGCAAATATATTTTCCCATACAGTTGGTTCCCTTTTCATTTTGCTGATATTTTCTTTAGCCTTGCAGAAGCTTCTTATTTTGATGAAGTCCCATTTGTTTATTCTTTCCTTTATGTCCTTTACTCTAGGGGACATATCAGTGATAATATTGCTACATGGAATATCTGAGATTTTCCTATATTCTCCGCTAGGACTTTTATGGTGTCACAACTTATAATTAAGTCTTAAGTGAAATGGAGACAAGCATTTCAGATATGGAATTCTGAAGAATGGAATTCAAAAGAATGGTTATAAGGATGCTCAAGGAACTCACTGACAACTACAAGGAACTGAGTGGGAACTACAACATCATGAAAAAAGAAATAGAAACTATAAACAAGAACCAGGAAGAAATGAAGAATACAATATCTGAAATAAAAAATATGCTAGAAGGAATTACAACTGGTTGGAGGAAGCAGAGGACCGAATTAGTGAGCTGAAACGCAAAGTAGAAAGAAATACCCAGGTAGAGCAGCTGTACAAAAAAAGACTCAAAAAATGTGAACACAGCTTAAGGGGACTGCAGGACAACATGAAAAGCAACAACATTCCAACCATAGGAATACTAGAATGAGAATAAAAGGGAGCAAAGGATAGAAAACCTGTTTGAAGAAGTAATGATAGAAAACTTCCCTAAACTAAACCAGGCAATTTCAGGAAGCACAGAGGGTCCCAATCAAGATGAACCCAAAGACGCCTACTCCAAGACACATCATAATTAAAATGTCAATTTTAAAGTCAAAGAATCTTAAAGGCAACAAGGGAGAAACAGGAAGTAACATACAAGGGAGCTCTGATAAGGCTAGCAGCTAATTTCTCAATAGAAACACTACAAGCCAGAAGCGAATGGCAAGAAATATTCCAAGTAATGAAAAGCAAAGGTCTGCAACCAAGACGACTCTACCCAGGAGGCTCTCAATTAAAATGGAAGGCGAAATAAGTTTCTGAGGCTAAAGAAGGAATACACCTCAACCAAACCACTGCTGCAAGATATGCTTTAAGAAGAGGAAGAAAAAAAGGGAGCAAGAGAACAACACAGCTACAAAGGATGAAAAATGAATAAGTACCTGTCAATAATAACCTAAAATGTAAATGAATTAAATCCTCCAATCTAAAGATATAAGGTAGCTGAATGGATAAGAAAACATGACCTGCAATATGCTGCCTACAAGAGACCCACCTAACAAAAACCTACACAGACTGAAAGTGAAGGGTTGGAAAAAAAATGTTGCAAGCAAATGGACAGGAAAAAGAGCCAAGGTAGCAATACTTATATCAGACAAAATAGACTTCAAAACAAAGGCCATAAAAAGAGATGCAGGACGACACTGCATAATACTCAAGGGAAGAATCCATGAAAGAGACCTAAACATTATAAACATATATGCACCTAACATAGGAGCGCCCAAATATATAAGGAAAATCTTGGAGGACTTCAAGAAAGATATAGACAGCAACATACTTATACTAGGGGATTTTAACACCCCACTGTGAATAATGGATAGATCTTCCAAACAAAATATCAACAGGGATATTGTGTCATTGAACAACACCCTAGATCAAATGGAATTAACTGATATATATAGAACCTTTCATACCGAAAAAGCAAAAT